GGGCACCTGGGTGGCTCAGTCGTTAAGCGTCTGCCTTCGGCTCAGGTCATGATCCCAGGATCCTGGGATCGAGCCCCACATCGGGCTCCCTGCTCAGCCAGGAGCCTGCTTCTCCATCCCCCACTTCCCCTGCTTGTGTTCCCCTCTCTTGCTGTGTCTCTGTCAAATAAATAAATAAAAATCTTAAAAAAAAAACAACTAGAAGAGCAAAGTAATGATGGCTAATATTTATTCTCTGGAAGACTTTGGGTTAGATTAGTATATTTCTTCCTTATATGTTTGAAAGAATTCAGCAATGAAGCCATTTGGGCCTGGAGTTTTCTTTGTGGCAATGTTTTTTAATCATGGTTTTACTTTCTAAAATAGGTATCAGAATATTAAGATTTTCTATTCTAGTATGTGGTGTACTGGGCTTTAAGGAATTTGTTGATTTCACCTAAATTGTCACATTTCTTGACATAAAGTTGGTTATAATCTTTGATTATATTTATTTAATTTCTGTAGGATCAATAGCGTATGTCCCCCTTTTCTTTCCTGATTTTGGTAATTTGTGTCTTCTTGCTAGGGGTATTTACATTTTTAATCTTCCCAAAGGGCCAACTTTTGGTTTAGTTGATTTGCTTTATTGTATATTTATTTTCTATTCTATATTTCCTTTTTTACACTTTCTTTAGATTTGATCAGCTGTTCTTTTAGCCTTTTGAGATGGAAGCTTATTAGATTATTGATTTTTGAGCCTTTCTTCATTTTTTTTTTTTTAAAGATTTTATTTATTTATTTGACAAAGAGACACAGCGAGAGAGGGAACACAAGCAGGGGGAGTGGGAGAGGGAGAAGCAGGCTCCCCGCTGAGCCGGGAGCCCGATGTGGGACTCGATCCCAGGACCCTGGGATCATGACCTGAGCCGAAGGCAGATGCTCAACCATCTGAGCCACCCAGGCGCCCCTCTTCATTTCTTATATATGCATTTAAAGCTATAAATTTCCCTCGAAGCCCTGCTTTAGCTGCATCCCATGAGTTTTGATATGTTCTGTCTTTGTTATTATTCAGTTCAAAATATTTTCTAATTTCTGTTGTGATTTTTTCTTTGACTCAAGAGTTAGAATTACATTGCCTGATTTTTAAGACTTCCATAATTATCTGTGACTGATAGCTTAATTCCTCTGTGGTCAGAGTACATACTCTAATTTTGGTCTTTTGAAATTTGATCCTTGTTTTATGGCCCAGCGTATGGTTAAATTTTGGGAAATGTTCCATGTGTAACTGAAGAAATTGCGTGTTCTGTCATTGTCGGGTGCAATGTTCTACTTATGTCAAACCAGACTGATTATGCACTTATTACATGTCAAGCACTATTGTGAATGCTTTTCATATAATCCCCATGACAAGCCTCGGTGGTAGGTGACTATATACTATCTCCATTTTACAGGTGAGGTCACAGAGCTAGAAGATAGGTAGCTGAACTGGATTTCAAACCTGGCTATCTGTTTCAGAGTTTTCATTCTTCACAGCAGTGCTGTAATCCCAGCACAGGTCCAAAGCCTTCCCCCAGATTCCTGCAGGTCTGCAGGTACTCTAAGCTCCTTGGTTGATAATTTTTCTTGCCTCCCTACACGTGGACTTTTCTGTTCTGCACAGCAGTGGCCCAGACACAAAATTCAGCTCCTTCCTTGATTTCCACAAAACCCCCCTTACCCAAGGCAGGGTGTCTGCCCTAAGCCCCGTGCTGATGTGCTGAGGTTTTGCTGGGGGTGGGAGTGAGGACTGCGGGGGGGATTTACCCTGAAGCATTGCAAATGCAGAGAAGGGAAAACTTAACTTTTTTCCCTCTACTTGTCTTAGGTCCATTGGTTGGGGCCCTATAAATTAGCCTGAGAAAAGACATTAACAAGAGAACAACAGATAGGAATTTATTACCATGTGTGTCTCACACACACACACACTCAGGAGTATTCAGTGATGAGCAATTCAAAGGAGTGGCTGGAGCTTAACAAAAGAACAATGAATTTGTAGGGAAGCAACGTGATGGGAAAAGGACTTTGAGGTTATAGGAACAGCAGATTATGTGAAGGCAAATATATGGGGAAACCAGTGGTAGGTAAGGGCTAGTTCGTAAAGTTTATGTAGATTCTTCTGGGCTGCTAAGGGTCTAGATTGCCTCAGTGCTTAACTTCTTTCCTTCCTGGTAGCGAGGGGAGGGGGGCACTTTTACAAATTGATGTCCTGCTTTTAGGCAACTGGGGAGGACAGAGAACTTTTCTTGTATCTGCTTCTTCTTGATTCAGCTCAAAATGATCCTTATGCCAAAGTGGTATATTTTGGGGTGGCCTATTCTACTACCCTTCACAATCAGCCTCAAGTTCAGCATCAGACCCCTCCATTGTTAAAGTCTGTTGACCTCTGTCTGCCCCCTCCCCCAGGTATGTTGTGGCTGCTTAACCTGGCTCTGACCGGGCCTTACTTGGGCACTTGGCCTTCTTTCTTTGTCCCGCTCCTCCCTCCCTCCAGTAACTGCTCATTAGTAAATTTTTAGAATTTTTCATGGAAACATTAGTATAATACTTCTAGGAAGTGCACTTACTTGAATTGGGCAGCTCAGTGAATTCTCCCAGAGTGGACACACCAGGATAACCCCTACACAGATCAAGAAATAGCATGAGCAGCCCCCCAGAAGCCCCCTTTATGTACTTTCCCACTCGCAACCTCCCGAGAGTAACCGTTATCTCAACCTATAATGCAGTAGATTAATTTCTGCTTGGTCTTGAATCTTCTATCAATGGAGTCATACAGCATGTATTTTCTTTATGACTGGCTTCTTTCTCTTGACTGTGCTTGAGAGAGCCGGCCGTGCGGTGTGTACAGTTCTAGGGGATTCATTCTTGTTACCAAATAGTCTGTTACGTGAATCTCCCACATTTATTTTTCCTATTTTAAATTGTGCTGCAAAGAAAAATCCTTATAGATTCTTTTTTTTGGGGGTGGGGTGTAGATAGACACATTTCCGATCAGTTAATGCCTAGGAGTGGAACAGCTAGGTTATAGGATATGTGTTCACAATAAGTAGATCTATCCAGACAGTTTTCCCCCAAGTGCTCGTGACAGTTTACACACCCATTAGCAGTGTGTGAAAACTTCGGTCGCTCTGCATCCTCACTAACACTTGGAATTGTCTTTTTCATTTTATCAATTTGGCGGATGGATGGTGGGGTTGCCTTGTGAACTGTTCATTTTAACCCAGAGCACGTTAGCTTCATTGAACACCTTGGGCTCTGCTTTTCCCTGCCTTAGGATTTCGGCTTCCCCACAATGGCTTATCAAGGTGTTTTCCCAAAGACTCTTCTCTTCTTAGAAGAAATTCCCTGTGACTGCTGTTGAGATGGTACACTAGAACAAAACCAAACAAAACCAGACCTGAAAGGGTTTATGCGAAAATGCTAATGGTGTCTCTGGGTGATGGAATTGTAGGTGCCATTAATTTTCTTGATGCTCATTTTGATTTTCTACACTGAACACAGTTTTTGTGTAATCAGAAATTTTTAGACAAGAAAACATTTCCTACCCATAATCCCGCCACTCTAATGCAATTGTTTCCATTTCTCTGACAAAGGTCTATATTTTGTGAAAACCACTCAACTGGAACAAAATAGGAACATTCAGACGTTCTGGGCTGGATGCCACCTGCACAGTAATGAAAAATGCCAGCTACCTCCTTTGAGTTCTTAGGAATAGGTAGAATCAAAGGAAGTTCCTGATATTTACCTTGGGGCTTTATGTCCATCACCTCATTTAATTCTGGTGAGGGAGGGGTTGTTTTCATCCCCATGTCACAGACGAAGAAACCGAGGCTCGGAGAGGGTGAGTAGTCTGAGCAGGCCAGCTAGGAAATAGCAAGGCTAGAATTTGAATTCAGGTGTCTGGTTCCAAAGCTGGCTTTTTCCCCTGCCCTGTGCCACCTTCCCCTCGCAGTGCCTGGCGGGATTGCGGCCGAGTCCCTGACCTTCACTCCCCTGGAGGACATGATCTTCCTCAAGTGGGAGGAGCCCCAGGAACCCAATGGCCTCATCACTCAGTATGAGGTGGGTTTGGACCTCATTACAGTGAGGGTCCCTGGTGGAAGGTGGGCACACAGCTTGGAGAGGGAGGTGCATCGGGGTGGGGACAGAAGTGATCATTGAGGTTCCTTCGACTGGTCAGGGTCTGTGCCCTGTGGGTTATGGGGACAGGGGCCCCAAAAGAAGAGAGGTGAAGGTGCCCAGAGATCTGGGCTAATGGGCATCCACAGTCCCACTGAACCTCTCCCCTTTGCCCAGCCTTCTCCCTAGCTCTCCTGAACTATGTTGGGTGGGAGGCTACAGGGCTAGTGATGACCTTCCCCATCTCTGTGCCCGCCTACCTGCCTGTCCTGCCCCCAGATCAGCTACCAGAGCATCGAGTCATCAGACCCGGCGGTGAATGTGCCGGGCCCACGACGTACTATCTCCAAGCTCCGCAATGAGACCTACCATGTCTTCTCCAACCTGCACCCAGGCACCACCTACCTGTTCTCCGTGCGGGCCTGCACGGGCAAAGGCTTTGGCCAGGCGGCACTCACTGAGATCACCACCAACATCTCAGGTAAGCCCACCTGACCATGGCCTGACCCCTTTAGAGGTGGCTCCCCATCCCAGGGTTCTGTGGGCAGAGGGGGCATGGCAGGGGGTGGGGGGCGTCCCAGGGGTGTTTATAGAGGGCCCCTGATGAGATGAATATACCATTTAGGGATTAAGTTCAGGGGTCAGGGAGGATTAAGTCAGAGGGGTCAGGAGACTGTGGAATCGGAGGGCTGAGTTCAGGGGTCAGAAGTCAGGGAAGCTCAGGTCAGAGGGAACAAGGCTGAAGGGGAAGAGATCTGAGGACGGGGCAAGGAGGCTAGAGGCCTGACCTTCCTGGTCTAGTGTCCAGGTGCCATGTTTATATCCCTGTCCCCTTCCCCAGCTCCCAGCTTTGATTATGCCGACATGCCGTCACCCCTGGGCGAGTCTGAGAACACCATCACCGTTCTGCTGAGGCCGGCACAGGGCCGCGGCGCGCCCATCAGGTGGGAAAGCCTAGAGGGAGGGATGGGAGGTCAGGGCCATAGGGAAGAAGCCCCTCCTCTGACCCAGAGCCCCCCACGTGGGCCAGCTCAGCCTCAACCTCCCTCAGTTTCCCACTCAGGGCTCTGCGTGTCTGGAGGAGGATGTTCTGTGATCCTGGGCAGGTGGAAAGCCTGCAGCCCCTCCCCTCTGAAGCCATGGGTGTCTGATGGTGATTGCCATGAGATCTTTGGACAGTGTCCAGCCTGGAGAGGTGTGACTGTCCAGGCCTCGCCTGAGGGTCTTCCCACAGACCTCTTGGAGAAGTGAAACCCTGGGGGCCTTATTTCTTCCCAGCTTTTTCCCTAGAAGGTCCTGGCCAGGGAGACACAGCCTTCTAGAAGGTTGGGGCAGCCAGCCAGACAGGGCCATCTCTGTGAAGTGGCCAAGAGCTTGGCTTCTCCAATTACGTCTCCCTAGAGAAAGCTGGGGCTGCCTCTGCTGGGGAGAAGGTGCTGGAGACAAGATGGTTGTGTGTGTGTGTGTGTGTGTGTGTGAGATAAAGACGCATACTGTATACATGCCATGTGTGGTGTGGAGGTGTGAGTGTGTGTATGTGAGAGTGTGAGGGTGTTTGTGGGATGTGTATATATGCCTGCTATCAGCCAGACTCTGTGTTTGTGACTTCCTCTGCAGGAGTCACTTTATCCTCATGGCGGCCTGTGGGGGGTGGGGTGCTGTTACCCTTATTTTACACATTGGGAAACAGGCTCAGTGGCCTTAAGTCCCTTGCCCTCAAGGTCACACAGCTGGAAGGTGCTAGAGCTGGGGTTGGGAACCCAGGTCTGTCTGCACAGCCTGTAGCTTTTCTTGAAGTCACAGAGCCTCCCTGCCCCTCTGGTGCACCCTGTCCTCCCGCAAAGCTGTGTGCACTGGGAGAGGGGGACGGCCTGTATTTGGGTGTGGAAAGATCCTGCTAAGCCTCCGAGAAGGTAGTGGGTTGGCCATGTGCCCTTGACACCCCCTTACATCCTCACACCCTTCTCCTGCTTTGCCTCCCCTGTATTTGCTGCTGCAGAGCCTGTCCGGGCTGCTTCCCAGACTCCCTGGGGAGACCCAGGTCAGCGTCAGAGTGTTTGAGGGGCATTTCGCATTTCCAGGAGCCTCAGGGCCCTTGTGCGGCTAAGTCTGGGAGCTGGGAAACCCAGCAGTGCCTTCTCCTTTCCTGGTCCTCTTGAGGGATCCTGTGAGATGGCCCATTTATAGTGTCCCTCAGGGATGACGATGACAAGGTGGGAGGTGGAACATGGTGAAGGGGGGAGGCATGGTGGCTGTGTGACCTTGGGCATGTTCCTTTACCTCTCTGAGTCTCCTTTTCCTTGTCTGCATAATGGGGACCATCCCAGTCAAGATGCTTTGTTCAGTGTTGATTGTTATCACCTCCCGGTGGGGCGTGGGGCCAGTGGAGGCCTGACCTTGGCCTGGGAAACGGAGGCTGAGAGGGGCCTGGGCTGGCGTTTGCCGTGCGCTGGTGACAGGGGAAGAACCTGTGTGGCCCAATCCCAGGGCACTGGGGTGATTCCCACACAGCTCCGATGCTCGAACAAAACAGCTGGAGAGCCAGGGAAAGGCGTTCCTACTTCCCAGAGTGCAGCCGTCTGAAAGGGTGCCACATGCCAAGACGTGACCGAGGCTGTGACTAGAAATATTTGAATTTGTCAGCGCTCACCTATTTACTCTCGGCTTTGTTCCACCGAGGATTTGGAGGAGCTCATAGCAAAAAGCCATTCAGTAAAGTAAGAAAAATAAATAGAAACACACAAGTCGGGACCGGGAGACACACATCAGAGGGAATGCAGACGAGGGCACACAAATCAGCTGTCAGGACCCAGAGATGACAGGCTCTGAGTTGCAGACTCGAGACTGCCTCCAGGTTGGGAGGTAGCCGGATGCAGGATTTGTGTGGCCTTGCTTGCTTGCTCAGTGACTGTCTCCCCCACTGGAGGTCAGTTCCAGGAAGCCTAGATCCCCAAGTGCCTACCGAGCTCGGGCCCAGCGTCTGAGCTCAAGCACTTTCTGAATGAATGAATGAACACGATGAGTCTGACTCTCATTCCCGGAGGCCCAAAGGGAGCTGCAGGTAACCGGGGCGGAGCCCAAGGCTTCGGGTCGCCAGGTCCTTGGCAGGCACGGGAGCATGTGTTGAAGAGAGTCAGGGTGGGGCTCTAGGGCTTGGTGCCATTGAGCAGGGCCCACGTTCTTTCCGCCTTCGTCACAGTCCTAACAGCTGACAGGCACTGGCTGCTTCTGAAACTTGCCTCCTTCCTTACATTTAGCTCGTGGAACGGTCCTGTGATCACGCTCGCTTTACAAGGGAGGAAACTGAGGCCCAGGGAGGTTGAGAGAGTTGCGCAGCGAGTAAGAGGCAGAGCCAAGATTAGTCCCAGGCTGGGCCTGACCCCAGAGCCTGTGCCCTTAGCCATCAGACGGTTCTCCCCATCCCCTGGCCCTGTGGTCACTGCTCTGTCCCCTCCTTGTCCAGCGTGTACCAGGTGATTGTGGAGGAGGAGCGGCCTCGGAGGCTGCGTCGGGAGCCAGGCAGCCAGGACTGCTTCCCAGTACCCTTGACCTTTGACGCTGCGCTGGCCCGCGGCCTGGTGCACTACTTTGGGGCAGAACTGGCGGCCAGCAGTCTTCCGGAAGCCATGCCCTTCACCGTGGGTGACAACCAGACCTATCGTGGCTTCTGGAACCCACCGCTTGAGCCCAGGAAGGCCTACCTCATCTACTTCCAGGCAACAAGCCACCTGAAGGGGGTGAGGGACTGGCAGGGGTTGTGATGGGGATAGGCTGGGGACCCCTAGGAGGAGCCTTCTGAGCAGCCCCCTAGGAGGCCGGAGACCCTCCCCGGCCCCGCCCCCTCTCCAGAACCCCCACCCTCCTTCCCTGAGCTTCCTGACCTCAGGCTCCTTCTCTTAGAGCATCTCCCCTTCCTGAGCCTTTTCCCTAGACTCTCCTATGTCTAAGCACCCCCTCCCTAGTCTATCCCTGCCCCCTCCCTGAGGCCCTAGTGTCTGTCTCAGGCTCCTCTCTCCCCAGGGGTCCATCTCTCCGTCCTGCTTTCCCCAGACCTTGAGACCCACCACCCACCTCCTCCTGGAAGCCCCGCCCTTCTCCAGGCTCCTCCTCTGGGGGCTCTGTCCTCCCCAGGCTCCCCTCTTAACCAGCCCCTTGGCCGCCCCCTTCCCACACTGTTTCTTTCCCTGCTCCCCCTGAACTCATTCCCCTTTCCTAAGTCATTGCCCTCTTTTCAGGCCCCTCCTTCCCCTTCCTGCTTCCCCCTCAGGCCTTCCTGCCGGGAGGGGTGTCTCTAGTCACAGTGAGCACTGGCTGAGCCCTGACCAGGCCCAAGACAAGCTGCCCAAGGATCCCCCTGGGGAGGGTTAGGTCGGGGTTTCGGTGGTGCTGAGACCCCCATCTTTGCCTCCAGGAGACCCGGCTGAATTGCATCCGCATTGCCAGGAAAGGTAAGCCCCCCTGGGTTCCTTCCTGGCCTTCAGCAGTGGGTTTCTCCCCTCTGGGCTCTTGGGGGGTGTGGGAGCAGAGGAGGGTGGTCTGGGTTCCCTTCCTGGTCCCCGTTTGTCCCACGTGAAGGGCTCCTTCTCCCAACCTTGGGCAGTAGGACTAACCTCCGTCTCTCTTGTCATGGTCACAGAAGTGGCTTTGGCAGGGGCCTGGTACAGGTCTGTGGAGGGCGAGCCAGTATGGTTGGGTGATGGCACTGGGCACTGGCTCTGGGTTCTGTATCTGCTCCCTTTGTTGTGGTGGGGGAGAGGTGGGCCCTGCAGTGTAGACAGGGAATGTGGTTGGTCCCCCATCCTGAGATGCCCTCAGCGGGCCCTAGGTGCATAATTCTCTCCCCCTTTGCCTCTCAGGAGGGCAGGAGGGTGAGTCTGAAGGCCCCAGGCATCCTCCATCCCCTGTCCACTGAAGGATGGGAGGATTTGAGAAAGTAGAGAGGAAAGGAGAGCTCTTCCCGATGGGGTCTACGGGGGTGCAGAAGTTATAAGGATGATGAAGGGGCAGATTGGACTGAAAGGCTGCCTATGAGCTGAGGACGGGGGGTAGTTGTCTTTGTGCACATGTGTTAGTATATTCCTTGAGACTCAGACCCCTCCAGGCAGTGGGTAGGTGGTCCCTATCTCCCCTCTGACCCTTTGTCCTGATTTATTCTCCCCAGCTGCCTGCAAGGAAAGCAAGCGACCCCTGGAGGTGTCCCAGAGATCGGAGGAGATGGGGCTCATCCTGGGCATCTGTGCGGGGGGACTTGCTGTCCTCATCCTTCTCCTGGGGGCCATCATTATCATCATCCGTAAGGGGTGAGTGAGGCTGGTGCCATGACTCACGCAAGGCTCCCTCAGAAGCCTGGTGGGCATAGAGGAGCAGTGGCTGGGGCCTGGGAGGGCAGCTGTCTGGTGAGTGTGGAAGGTTGCCAACCTGGACATCCAGCCTGAGGACGGGCCTAAGCCAGGAAGTGGGAAGCCAGAGCCTCTGCAAATGAAGCTGCGCTGGAGGGGCTTGGCTGGAGCTCAGGTCTGGCTGGTGCCAGGTACCACTATCCAGGGAAGGGCACTCGTACCTGCTGCCAAGGAGCTGTGCTGGAAGTGGGCATGGGCTGTTCCAATGGGGAGGGTGTGGAGGTAACCTGACTTCAAATCTCTAGCCCCCTGCAGACCTTTGGCCGACTTGTCTGCCCTGACTCTGGGGTCGTGGTGCTGACCCTGAGCAGTGGGGGTGGTGCTCAGTCCCCTTCACACCAAGGACCCTGAACCATGGTTCTTCCTGGGCCCCATCTTCCCTGGGGCTCAGCTTGCCCTGGACCCTGTTACTCCTGATCCTTGTGGAGTCCTCCTGGGCCCACGACTCAGAGGAGACCTCGCTCCTCCCATCCCCCAGGCCTCCAAAGTCTGGCGTGCTTCTGAGGGGTGCCTTTCCTAGGGCATTTTGCAGTGGGCAGCATGAATCCCAGCACCTCTTAGAATCCAGAACTTAGAATTTCGGAGTTTCAGAAATCTAGGATTTGGGATTCTAAGAATCTCAGAATTTAGAATTGTAGAGGCTCAGAGCCCAGAAGGTGAGAGCTGCCTGGTAGTTCAAGGACATCTGGTCTAGTGGTTTTCAAATCTTCTTAAAGCAACAGAACCTGTTTTCAGAACACCAAATAAACTTCCCCTAGGAGGCCCAGTACACGGAGCAGATGAAGGCTGAGCCTCTGGTTGAAGCAGGGGTGGAGGCTTCTGAGACCACTCTGGTTTCCCTCCCCTCCACTTTATTCCCCACCAGGCAGCCCCAGGACACTGGGCCAAACACCATAATTGAAGGATGGAGATGTTGAGGCCCCAAGGGGGCACGGAGCTGCCTGAGGTCACCCAGGGAGCCCTCTCCCCACCTGGGCTCTATGCACCTGCTTCTGGGCTGGTGCTGGATCTCAGGGCTGCCAGGAGCAGATAAGTAGGATCAAGGGGGATGAGGGAGAACTGGCTAGGGCTGCATTTCCTGAGGCCAGGCACCGGCAGAGAGAGACTCTCCCAGGGAGTCCGGGGGTAGGGTTTCCAGGGCATGAAGCTGATTTTTTTCCTTCCCTAGTCCCTACACAGCTTCTTGGGATAAACTAAACTATATCATTTAATGAATATTACTGTGTGCCCAGGGCTTCACACACACCATCCATTAGAACATTAGTGATTGAGCACCTACTGCGTGCCAGGCACTGTTCTAGCACTCAGGATACATCAGAGACCATTTCCTTCTTGGATCCTGACCCATGAAGCAGGTCTGAGCCCCTTCTCACAAATGAGGAAACTATAATTGAACGACTTGACCATGTCACTCGGCTGGTAAGTGACAGGGCCTGGCTTGAACCCACTGACTACAAAACCCGGGCTCTTTAGGGCCGGGGATGTGAAGGGCCTCACCATGGGCTAGCGCACAGTAGGTGCCCAGAATTAGCAAGTTCCTGTCCTCCTCCCCTGTGGGGGACCTGGAAGTTAACTCTGGGGTAGGGTGGGGTGGGGAGGAGGGCAGATGGTGAGTACTGTAGGGGAGTGGTCAGATTTTGGGGGGTTGCAGGTAGTATTTGAGGCCTTAGAAATGAATCCTCAAGGAGAGAGGATTGGCCAAGGGGAGGGTGTCACCCATCTCTGCAGAGCATTGGGCCCAGGAGAGGGTGGGTTAGAGATATTGCTGGAGCCTCACTAGGAAACCCTGCACTCTACACAGCTGCTACCCCATAAACCCAGGCTACCCTCGAAGCCCCTAGGATCCCCCTAGACTTCCTTCCTTCCTCTAAAAGCCATTCACTTCCATTCTCTAGCACCCCATTGCATCCGCCTAAATCCTGTCCTGGCCTTCAGGGTTCGCCATGCTCCTCAGGGCTCCCCTGGCCTGCATTGTGGGGTGTCAGGACAGGTCTGGCAGCGATGAAGGTGCCCACATTAAATTTCGTGGGCAGGTCAGGAGGTTGCTGAGGGAGGGCTGATACCCAGTTGCCACCCTGTGCATCCTTGTCAGAGGAAGGTTGTGGAGAGACAGTGCGGGGGTGGAGTGGGGGGTGGGGGGGCAGGGGGAGGGTGGTCAGGCTCCCCATCCTGCCCTGCCGGGGTGGACAGTGAACCTGGGTGCATCTGCACTTGGGGAACTCCCCAGGCCGGGTGTAGCCCTTGTTCTGCTTCCAGAATCCCATCCTTCTCCTTCATAGTACTTTCTTCTCCCTGCACTTTTTTTTTTTTTTATTTAACTTGGAGTGCTTGGCTCAATTGTTTCTCTTCCCTGCTGGACTGAGAGCTCCATGAGGGCAGAGAAATTCTGTCCTGTTGGCTGTGCATCCCCAGGGCCTGGCCCAATGGAGTAGGGTCCTCCTGAACCACCCCCGCCCCAGCTCCCAGCTCAGCAGGTGGAGGGAGGCAGGGAGGAGCTGGGCTGACAGCGGCCCCTTGGGCAGGGTCATTATTAATCTCACTCGTTTGGAGGAGGATATGGACACCGAAGAGGTGGAGTACTTTTATTTATTTTCCCTCTTTATTGATGACTCAATTCAATGAAATTTTTATTGGGGGATTATCGTGTTCTAGGCTCTGTCCTGGGCCCTGGGACCCAGCAGTAGGCAAAAGAGACAAGGGTGGTGCCCTTTGTAGCTAGTGCTGAAGCCTGGCATTAAACCAGAAACAGCGCAGATGAGTAATTACAGATCGTGAAAAGAACAGGGTGCCGGGGTGGGGGGCAGAGAGAGGGTAAAGGTGACACAATAGAGTTGGAGATTATGGGGGAGTTTTTGTGGAAGGCTCTTGAAAAGTCATGACATTACAGCTGAGACCAGAATGCCATTCCTTCAGCCATCCCTCCTCTTCAGGCCCCTGTGACCAGCCATGGGCCTACACCCTCCGCTCTCTCCTGGGACGGATGAGAGGAGACATGCTGTGTGGCTTCCAGCCACTCTCCTGCCCTCACTGGGCCTCAGCCTTCCACTCTTCTCTCCTTCCCTTCCCCCAGTCTGCAGAGTCCCTCGTGGAAGGCTGTTCC